AACTTTATAAAATTCTTGGATCTTTTCTGTTAAGTCCCCCCAAAATATTAAATCACCCCCAAAATAAAAACAAAATTCTTCCATTGCACTAAGCTTGGGTTGACTTTTGCGATCGCCGCATTTGTGGGTGACTCGGGTTCGCTATTTCTAAGTGTGGGGTTTACGTTCGCTCTTTTTCCGATAAACAAGCCAAAAACAGATTTTTTTTTTCTTTTAAATTGTAAAAAGTCCTTTGTAAGTTTCTCGAATATCATCCGCACTTACGAAATCTGAATAAATCCCTGACTTTTGGTAATTTTTCATTTCGAGGGTTGGAGGCAAGCTAAACAAATTTTAATTTAAAATTTATAATTTCTTGGGACGAATTAATATTCGCGATAAGTAACTTTACATTTTTTGTGGGTGTATTAACAGAAAAGATCTAAATTCTCTAAAATATTTTTCTTTTGGTGTAGAATCAATAGATTGATAATTCACTCAGGAAAAAAAATCATCTAAATCAATAGCACTTTACAAATATTGATTTTCAACTCTTTATGCCTTTACTTAAATCCCATAAAATTTATTCCAAACAGCTATATAGCGAGGGATATCAATATTTAAATTTTCGCAAATATATAAATTACAGTGTAACCCGTATATAAGAGACCCGGATATAAGAGAAACCCGGATAAGAGAGATTTTCTCTGGTCCCAAAGTGTTCCCATATTTACCTAAACAAAATAGACCAAACCCGGATATAAGAGAAACCCGGATATAAGTGGCTTCTCCGGTCCCGATAACTCACTTATATCCGGGTTATACTGTATTAAAATATCTTGTTTTACCCTTAAAACAAACATACAACCATATTTTCCGGATTTACGTTTATCTTTTATATAAACGCCGAGCTGTTTATGCAACCCATATTAAACGAATCTATCAAAATTTTCCTTCAGTCACAATATTCTTTGCAAGCGCATACATATTTGTAAAATAACCACAACGATGATAGTAGTATCTGAATTACTTCTCGTACCATCGAGATGCAAATACAAAAATACAATTGTCCCCTGGCCACTCAGCTATTTATATAACATCGGAGGAGGTAACTTATATCCTCCAGTGTCTGCCTGTGGAAGTCCCCCATTATCTAATGTGACCTTTCATTTCTCCTCTAGAATATTGAAAGTACATTCTAGTAGTTCGATTAAAAAAAAGGAAAAGAAACTATAATCATATTTTAGTATTAAATTCATATGAACATATGACGGCAGGTTTAGGGCTCCTCGACGTAGTTTAATCGTTAGCAAGCTTATCTCGCTAGAACCATTACAATTGAGTAGCGAGTTCATTCTCCATTGGGTGCCCCATGCTTTCAGCCTTGTGCCACATCTAAATGGTGCTTAGAAAATCGTTTTGAGCGTTGGTGTAATAGTTAGCAAGCTTCTCTTGCTAAATAGTGAGTCCGATGCCCCATATTTTCGGCCTTGTGCCACATCTAAGCCACGCTTAGAAAATCAATATATATCGCTAGGTTTTTGTCTCCTCTTAGCATTGTTATCAGTCCTCCCACGACCTCACAATATTGCTATTTACCTGGAATTATTTCTGTATTAACAGACTTAATATTTCTGGAGGTTAGAGAAACTGGTGGTTAATCGTTAAACGGTGGACATCCTCAATTGATGTTTCTTTTAAGACCAGTGGATACCATTAATTGATTATATAATTTTTTACAACCTTACGAGCATCATTCATTCATAACTCAAGTCTAAATGACTAATTGTCAGCTCAAGGATTTCTGGTTACTATATGCTATTAGACAGGCAGCCAGCGACACGTGCATAAGTTTCAATATGGATGCCAGAACGTTAACTTTGCCAAATCCTTTTCTAAGTCAAAGCGACCCTTGTTAAAAGAAGATATAACCTCATTTATAGAAGATTTAAATAGCAATGAAGAGGGAGATTTTTCTATTATTTCTTCATCCTCATTTGAATCGGGGGTTCACGTTCATATAACATTGAAATATCGGTTCCCGATATACGATAACCGAAGTTAAACAACGTCGAGCCTGGTCAGTACCTAGATGGGTGAACGCTTGGGAATACCAGGTGCTGTAAGTTTGGATGTGCGGGTGGTGTAATGGATAATGGCTCTGAAATTTTAATTAGAAAACCGAGTTCCAATTCCGGTTGGGTTCGTTGTATCCTCTTACGTACAGATACCCTTGGTAAAGGTATGAATCCACTTATTCTTCCCCAACTATGGGTTAAATAGTAAGACCTGTATAACTGAATCATCATTATTTCCAAAAAATCTTATCATTTGAAAATAATTTCTGACTTTAAATAACCTGAAAAGGGTTGATAAGCAGTCGAAAGCGGATCAAACAAATATGAATCAGATGATAATACAACATGTATTACAGAAGAAAAAAAGATTCTTGAAAAAATCCAAAGAAGAATTTGCAATATTATCAGTCTTGATCTAGCATCTCAGTTTCAGTTACTTTCCCAGCGTCGTAATATAGCTTCTCTGTTCTTTTTTTTTAAATAAATATTTTCATGGTAATTATTCGGATGAGCTTTCTTCTTTGACACCTCGACTTTACGAATTTAAGCGCAGTACTGGATTAGCAGGTAGGTTTCATCATTTTAGAGTTGAAATGACTAGATCTAACCGTACTTTTATCCTAACAGTTTCTTCTCTCGGAATTCTCACTTGTGGAACTCTCTTCCGGCCTCTTGCTTTCCAGTCAACAAAAATTTAGATGCAATACTACTTCTTAGATATTTAATTTTGTTGTACTTGCTTGAGTTTGGTGTCTCCAATTCGTATCTCGGATCTTGGGCTGTTTTTTTGCTGACAAGCATACATTCTTTCTTCTTAAAAATGATAGTTCGTCCTTTTCTTGGGCTTAATTTTACTAACTTCTGTAGATTTGCCTGAAGTATACTTTCCGCGTTTGCTATCAACACTGTGTCATCTGCATATTTTGTATTGTTAAGGTTGTAAGCACCAACACTAAATCCTGGTAGGACTTAAGATCACCTCTCAGGATCACCTCACTATAAAAATTGAATAAGTCCAGAGAGAAGACACATCCTTGTCTTACGCACCTTTCTACCTTTATATAAACTACAAAACTCCATAATAACTACTCTTGGAAAGAGTTTATCTAAACTTAATATAAAATTTGTTACAACTAACTCACAAATAATACGAGATTTAATTAAAAAATAAAATGAAATAAAATAAATAAAAGCATTCTTTGTCTTTTTAATTTAATTCCTCCTCCCACGTTAATCTTTTCCTTTCTTTATCTTTAAAACATCGCCTCACTCTTCATTCCTTGCCTCTCTTTATATTAATTCCTCCTCACTTATCACTCTTTTCCTTTCTTTATTTCAACTTCCTCCCACGCTCTTTGCCTCTCTTCATTCCTTGCCTCTTTTCATTCCTTGTCTCTCTTTATTTTAATTTGCCCTCACACGTCAATCTTTTCCTTTTTTTTCTCTCTTTATCTTTACTTCACCGCCTCACTCTTCATTCTTTGCTTCTCTTTCTTTTACTTCCACGCCATTCTTTTCATTTCTTTTCTCTACTTCATCGATTCACTCTTAATTCTTTGGCTCGGAATGAAAAGTCAAAAGGTGGAGTTCGAATTTCAGTTAGGATCGTTATATTCACTTACCCGCAAATACTCTTGAAAAAGATATGAATCTATCCTCCCCCGCTGTCGGTTAAATAGTGCGATTTGTATCTGCAAAAATAAGTTTTATTCTCAATAAATTGTTAATGTAATATCCACGCACAAAAAAAAAAAAGAATTATTCTTACAATTATTTTTACAAGTGTGTTTCAGCTTTAAATATCCCACATTGGGTTGATAAGCCGTAAAAAACTAATCAATGAACTCTAACTTTTTTTCTCATTCCCACTCACTCGTTTTTATTTTTATCTCTAATCTCCTCTCATTTCTCAATTCTCTCGTTCTCCTCCATATTTCTAATCTCCATTTTTGCCATTTTTTTTTCTCAAACTTTCTTATCTTTTCCCAAACAATTATCTAACACTTTCTCTTTTTTTTCCCTTTCATCGCTTAAATTTAGTCTGTCTTTCTTTGTTCTTTTTTTTTTACTTTTCATTGTGTTTCTTTTCTTGATACCTTCATCCATTCTTATATCATAAAACCTACTTCATTATTATTCCTATTTGTATCATTTTTTTAATCATTTCACCCCAAACAAGGCAATAAAGCCACTAAAACGTAAGTTTTGTGAAAAATATGAGAAAAAGAAAAACATTATCAAAGAGAGAGAGAGAGAGAGAGAGAGAGAAAATAAGAATTAAGAAGACAAAAGATAATGATTAACATTTCATTTATGTTGGTTAGAACGGAAGATTCCGAAAGAGAGTTCCACAATGGAGAAGTGAGAGAGAAGAAACTGTTAACATAGAACTTACGTTTACATCTACCAATTTCAAGAGTAGTTGCCAATCTAAAGGAAATTTGTAAAAGATCCCTTTTGTGCTCATATAATATTTTATTTAAATCCCTGTATTTTTGGAACATTGATCAGAGTATTTTGAAAATTTGTTTCCGATTTAATGCTTTTATTTATTTTTTGTTAATTAAATCTCGTATTATTTTTGAGTTAGTTGTAACAAATTTTATATTAAGTTTAGATAAACTCTTATGAGATTATATAGAGTTGGGGGCTAGAGAATAAAATGTGAATGAGTCCAGAGACAAAAATAGAATATTTTAAAGAAAGTGGGATAAAGACAATAAAATAAAATATAAAGAGAGAATCGGGAAGAAGGCGAAGCAGAATAAGAGACTTTAATCGATGAAGTAGATATAAAGAAAGGAAAAGGCTGATGAGTGAGAGGGGAATTAAAATAAAGAGAGGAAAAGAATAAAGTGAGGCGATGAAGAAATAAAGAATGCAAGAAATGAAGCGTGGGAGAGAATTAAATTAAAGAGGGGTAAAGTAAGAAAAGTGAGGCAGTGAAATAGAGATAAAGTAAGGAAGAGAGAGTGACGAGTCAGGATGAATTAAAAGAAAGAAAGGCAAAGAATGAAGAGTGGGGCGGTGAAGTAGAGATAAACAAAGGAAAAGAGTGACGTGTGAGAGGGGAATTAAAATAAAGAGAGGATAAGAATGAAGAGTGGGTAGAGGATTTAGGGATAAAGAAAGGAAAAGTGAAGAGTGAGTAGGAATTAAAATAAAGAGAGTCAATGTCTGAAGAGTGAGGCGGTGAAGTAGAGATAAAGGAAGGAAAAGAGTGATCAGAGAGGGGAGTTAAGATAAAAAGAGGAACGTAGAGATTATATAGAGTTTGGGGGGTAGAGTTTGGGGGGGGTAGAGTTGGGGGTAGAGAAGAAAATGAAAATTTGACCAGAGAGAGAAATAGAATATTTTAAAGAAAGTGGGATTAAAAAAAAAAAAAAAAATACAGTGTAACCCGGATATAAGAGAAACCCGGATATAAGAGAGATTTTCTCTGGTCCCAAATTAGAGCCTCTGTTAACCGAAACAAAATAGCCCAAACCCGGATATAAGAGACTTCTTCTCCGGTCCCGACAACTCTTTATATCCGGGTTACACTGTAAAATAAAATAAAATAATGGATTAGGAAGAGAGAAACAGGAAGAAGGCGAAGCAGAAAAAGAGAGTATATTTGTAAGAAATTTAAGTGGTTTCTAAGAATGCTTAATTGTCGGTAGGTAAGCAATAAACAAGGCTATGAGTTATGTCTTCAAGCCGTAAATGGCCGTAAATAAGCGGCAATTAAAGTCAGGTTACGTCAGGGAAGAAGTTTCTCTCGTCTCAACATGCTCTCTTTATTTTTTTTCTCTCTCTCTCTCTAACCTCTTTGCATTCTGTTGTTGATATTGTACTGTCCCTGTTTGCAGCAACTAATTGACATAAGCCACGTGTTATGCCTGTTGATAAATCATCTTTTTAACTTGATCGTATATTTCTATCCAGACAGACTCTCCTCAACAACTATATGGCTGTGGTTCTTCCACCACCGACCTGGCCCGTCGACGTACCAGCTCGACGACAAGCCATCCTAGCCTGGCCAACATCAGACCTGTCTATCAACACACCGATAATTCACTAAATAAATATTTTCCGATCAAAGTTTTATGGTTGTTCAGACAGCCCGTTTAGCAAGAGGCAAGAACCATAAAAAAAAGAAAAAATAGAATGAGATTGGCCATAGCTATTTGCTGTTTAATAACTGTCGACGGTGACATTGCAGTGGCCATGAAACACATAAGAGTGTCCTTCAACGTTTTACCGATGTTACGCACTCTTTCTATATTTGCAATATTTGACTGTTTCTTTTCTTTTTTTTTTAAGAGCCGGCGTATCTATGTTCTATCATTTCCTAGGTCCAGACAGTGACTCCATTTTTACTATTCATGTATTTCTCTGGAACTATTTTTAAATATTTTCTCCATGTCTAATATCGCCGCTTTATTTCTTTAAATTTGATGAAACATTTTTTTTCTTGTTGATCGTACCGTCCTTTCTTCAATTGTCTATTTTTCTGTGGTCACGAACATGGACATTTAAAAAAAAAATTGGCTTTAACACTGATACTTTTTTGTCTTTTAGTTTATGTACCTTTCTCTTATTTCGTTGGCAAGAAGGTTTTTTTCCTTTTAATTTAATTTCGCACTTGCCCATCTAATCTACAAGATTTAGTCATTCGGGTTTTTTTAGTTTTTTTTTTTTCATAAAGTTCGTTCTTTCTCTTTATCGTTTTCCTTCTTTATCTTCTGATTTCAGAGTTTTTTCTTTTTCTTTCTATAACCCTCACTCACCTTTTCCGAATCTCTCTCTCTCTCTCTTTCTTTTCTTCTCTTTCTTTCTTTCTCTGCTCTTTTTTATGCAGATATTAATCTTTCTCGTCATGGTTTTTTTCTCAAATACATTTTCTTTCTTTGTTCGTTTCGTTTTTACACAAAAAAGAATTCCTTCCTATTTGTAGCCTTTTCTTCTCAAGTAAATCTTTCTTTCTTTCTTTCTTTTTTATTTGCTTTTTTCGTTTTTTTTTCAAAGATTCATTTCTTCCTGTCCATGCCTTTTTTCTTTACAAATACATTTTTATTTATTTATTTGCACTTTTTCTTTTCTTTTTGTCTTTTTCCTCAAATTTTAATTCTCGCCTATTTTTTTTATTTCCTTTCTTCTAAAATATATTTTCTTTTTCTCTTTATCTATCTTTCTTTTTTCTCAAATACATATTTCTTTTTTCTTTCGTTCTTTCTCTTTCTTTCTTTCTTTCTTTGTTCGTTTCGTTTTTACAAATAAAGAAATCCTTCCTATTTGTAGGCTTTTCTTCTCAAGTACATCTTTCTTTCTTTTTCTTTCTTTCTTTTTTTCAAAAATTCATTTTCTTCCTATCTATGCTTCTTTCTTTCCAAATACATTTTTTCTTTCTTTCTTTCTTTACAATGTTTCTTTGTTTTTTGTCTTTTTCCTCAAATATTAATTATCACCTATTTTTAACTTCCTTTCTTCTAAAATATATTTTCGAAACATTTTTTTTCTAAACGCTTATTTTTTGTCTTTTTTCCTACTTTAATCTTCCTTTCATTCCATTTTTTACTCTCTCTCTTATATATATATATATATATATATATATATATATATTTACTTATTACCCCGAGTTTATTTACACATCCTCCTCCATACGGATATTATTACTAAAAATTATGTCGTCTATAATTTATAAATAAATCTAATTAGTATTCATAAATATAGAATCAAATAATATGTCATTAAAAAAGGAAAATTATTATTAGGCAAACATGAACTATGGAGATTATTAGGTTAAAATTCAAAGGGAACATAACGACTCATATATAATACAAAACCGATCAATTAACGGCATACGTGACAAAAATTGGTTGGTGCATATAGTTGTCTGTACTTTGTTCTTTTAATATGTATTCATCAATATTTCTAGCTATGTAAATCTATTTTTTCTTTTTATATATTCTATACTGAACATATAATTAGATACTTATGCAAACAAAAACAGTAACGCGCTCACATAATACATGACGTCACATATGACATACATTCTTTAATAGCATGTCTCTTCAAAACATAGGTGACCATAATTCCCCAAAGATTCCTTTTTTTTATTATCTGTGAATTGCCAGGATTCTAGGGACAGTCAATATAGTGGTTTAACATTGACTCCTTCAGGATTTTGAGTTCAAAGTACAAGATGTATTTAATGCGATGCCCATTTCTTCAGGATTTTGAATTCAGAGTAATTACTAGATGTCTTTAATGTCCCCTTCTGTTTGCCTCGGGGTTCTTGATAGGCTCCAGAGGCGGATTTGCAATATAATTGGCCCTGCTTCGGCATCTTGTCTACAGTCACTTTCTCACAGGCTTCATGTCTCGCACCTCTCGCCTGTGGGACTCCCTTCTCTATTCCAGTTTCCCTGAGAGCTATAATCTCCAGCTATTCAAATGTAATGTCAATCGACATCTCCAGTTGCCTTGATCTATCCACTACCCTTCTCCTCATCTTTTCTTCTATTACTCCTATCTGATCTTGCTCCAAATTTTCTGTAACCCCTTGCATCCTAGTGGCTTCCCGCTTTGCTTGGGGTGAAATGCTTAAAAAAAAATTAAGAAATAGAAAATCATGGCTCTCCAAGGATTCATTTTCTTTATTATCTGCTAATTACCATGCGTTCTTTGGAAAGATCGAAGTGCTTTGCCTGTTACTTCTTTATCGCTTTAACCTATAGCTGGAGGAGAAAGAGAAGATATGGATCCATGGTGATTCATTTCTCGAGGTTATTAGTGCGTAAGTAAAAGTAACAGAATACCCTGAAATTTGAACACGGCTCGTCGATTATACTTTTCGCATCGATATCTGTTACGTTATCCACACATAGATTAAGGGATTTTAACAAAAGAACAGTATTGTTTTGTTACGCGTAATAAATCACAGTTGAAAAAAAAAGGGAAAAGAATCGTATATCCGAAAACTTTACGATATGTACGACACACTATGTAACCACGAGAAAATCTTTATTACTTGGTGTTGTATGTACGTGTGCTTGTATGTTTGTGTGAGTGTGATATATTTTCAATAAAACAGACTAGGAAATGAAAGCAATATAGCAATATTTTAATACTATCCAAATAAACAACATATGATATAAAATATGAGAAAGCTATACGACGAATATATATATATATATATATATATATATATATATATATATATACATACAGTATTTACATTATTCAGACTATTGTCCTCATCTTTGTCGCCATATTTGTCACAACGCTCCGGCCTTCTTCAGGTGGTTGGAATGTCGAACTGAACCCTTTATTTCGCTCACTGGGGTAGACTGTTCTAGTTCCACGTGCCATGTTTGATGGATGTCAGTTATCAGTTATGTCCTGTTAATTTTCCCTCTGAAAGTTCTCCACTGCCTTAACCGGAGCGTACAACGGCTGAAACGTTGTAATAAATATGGCGACAAAGATGAGGACGATAGTCCGAATAATGTAAATAATGTAGCTTTTCTAAATACAGTTTGATGATATACAAACTTATAAAAAATTATATATCGTTATATATATATAATAAAAAGGCTTAAACACTAATATTCCATGGTCATAATTTATTCCATTGGAATCATAAATACGATCCAATTCATCAGACCTACAAATTCAAAAAGAAAACAGAAAAAACAACCCCGGAAATAAAAACAGAATTTAGAGAGAATGTAAGTATGCGAGAGTAGGACGAATGTTAGAGCTAAAGAGAGGGGTAACAGACGAGAGAAGGAGGGAGATTAAACCATAACGGAGGGAATTTTAGGAGAGGTGAGTGGAAGGGGTTAAGTAAGAGAAATATGAATGTTGTATATGTATGTGTATATTTAACACTAATATTATATATATATATATAAATTATTTTCAGATAAAGCGTATCGTGAAGGAACCAAATAAATAAAAAGACAAGAGGGAAAATTATTCTTAGCCGACGCGTTTCGCCCCTGAGGGACTTTAGGACTTTATCAAAGCAAATGTCACATTTGCATTGATAAAATCCCGCAGAGTACAAACACTTTGGCTAAGAATAGTTTCATATATATATATATATATATATATATATATATATATATATATATATATATATATATATATGTGTGTGTGTGTGTGTGTGTGTGTGTGAATTTCTAAAGATTTCTAATGGATTTATATTTAGTCCGACATTTTATTACTTAAAATGATATTTTTAGTGGATACCCGGGTTTGAGTAGACGGTTCGTTTTTCAAACAATGTGTATTACGCCTACGGGCGCCTGTGACCGAAAGCTTCTATGTCGAAGACTCACCTAAAAACGAAGATTGCCTGCCTTATTCAAAACTACGTTAGTACTTCCCTTCGGGCAGCAGCAGCAGCAATAAAAATAACAACAACGACAACGAAAAACAAAAAAAACACTATTATTTTTGTATAAATTTTTAGTAAAGCTTTAGCTTATTTTGCTTAAACCACCTTGTTGTACAATGGTAATTTTAGGTATGACAGATTTTAAATTAGACGCTAAAAAAATTGGACGCCATACACTGAGAGGTTAAAAAGTTTCAGGGCTGAAGCTGAGTAAGTGTTAATTAAAACAAAGAAGGTATGAATTCAGTGGATGAACTAAACTGTATATTTATTCACTCAATAAATAAACGCTGCGTCTACTCAAATATCCACTAGAAATAACGCTTGTTTAAAAATATATGTTGTTTTCGCAAAATAATGGTTTAAAACTTGCGTTCATTTTCACTCTATATCTGTATATATATATAAATATATATATATATGTGTGTGTGTGTATATATATATATATATATATATATATATACACACACATATATATATATATATATATATACGCTATATATATATATATATATATATATATATATATATATATATATATATATATATATATATATATATATATATATATATATATATATATATATATATATATATATATATATATATATATATATATATATATATATATATATATATATATATATATATATATGTGTATACCAAATATTTGTACGCATACACATTTCTAATTTATTCTGTAACAATGAATAAACATAATTTTTCATATAATTTACTGTGCACAGATGCATAATAACTAAATATGCACAGAAAACAGAAAAAAATGATTTAACAGCTATAAAATTCCATTTATTCAATTTAATGGATGAAAAAAGTATTTGTACTATACAAAAAAGAATACATAATCTTCCTTTAATTTTTTGTAGAATAGCCATTATTCACTTCTACAGCGACCAACCTCATCTTGTAGCTCACTATTAACGATATGCATATTTTAATTGGTATTTTGTTCCATTCTTCTACGCGTATGGTCTTCAGATCCGGGCTGTTTGTTGGAGCCCTTGATTGGATTTGAATTTTCAAATAACGTCACAGATTCTCGATTTGGTTTAAATCTGTGGACTGACTTGGCCATTTCAGGATCTTTACAATATTTTCAGCAAGCCATTTCTTCTTACATTTCGCAGTGTGCTTAGGATCATTATCTTTTTGTGAGATCCAATCAAGAGGAAGTTTAAGATTTTAAACCGAAATCATTAAATTTGCTTCCAATATATTTTGATATGCAGCGGTATTCATTCTACCATCTATTACTTATATGTTGCCAGTAACTTTTTTCCTTATTTGGTTTTCAACAGTTTTGAGTTTTATAACTTGCAATGAAAGAAATAATGTTAGTCAATAGAATATTCAGGTTGTCTGAGATTTTCCTGTAACATTTACCTTCTTTCCAGTTCTTTTTTTTTTTAAAATTTTTCAATTGTTTACCTCTTGCCATGATGATCAGCTTCTTTCTCGAATATCAAATACAGAATATTCGGTTTGTAATTTTTGGACTAAAAATGGACTGATAACATTATTGGAACATTCTAGAATATTCCACTTGAATACTTTCTTCACCCACAAATATGGATAAATGGCATTTATTTCTATTAAATCAATTTTTCTGTTTTCTATGCATATTTAGTTATTATGCATCTGCGTATAGTTAATTATATGAAAAGTATGTTTTATTCATTAGTTGAAAATACAATAAATTAAAAAAGTTGTATGGGTACGAATATTTGTTTCCACATATATTATATATATATATATATATATATATATATATATATATATATATATATATATATATATATATATATATATATAAATATATATATATATAAATATATATATATATATATATATATATATATATATATATATACATATATATTACGAATATTTATTTCCCTCCATTGTGTGTGTATATATATATATATATATATATATATATATATATATATATATATATATATACATATATATATATATATATATATATATATATATATATATATATATATATATATATATATATATATACATTA